GCTACTCAGGTGGGGCCTCTTCCCACCACGCTTCTCTAGGCCTTCCTCAGACTCCTCATGGCTAAGCCCCCACATGTTCTGCTCTCAGGCCTCTTCCCCTTTCTGATGAGGGAGACCAGGCAGCATTTCTGAGAGCCAGAACTGCATCAAACCCAGCCACGTGGCCCCACTCCTATGGGAGAGTCAGGGAAACCCAGACACTGGTGGCCCCACTCCCTTTGTGGGTCTGCTCAGCCTGTGACAGGCACCCTCTCAAACAGGAGCCCTCACGGCCACAGGTATATGCATGCCAGGCAGGGCACGGCCTGCAGAACTGGGGCTTGTAGCTGCAACTCCAGTTTCCCCAAATCCAGCCCTTGATGTTGTTTGAGTCCCTGGTTTTCACCTCTCTGGGGAGTCTTTTCCATTCATTCATCACCCCTCCATTCTGCTCATCTCCCAGATCTTTACTGAGAATAATGAAGTTCAGGGCCCCTCCCCCTCCTTCCGGGTTAGAGAATTCATTTTCCCATCAGTAACATCGGTCTGGTAACGAGACATGGTGAAATGTCCCGTTCCTGCCTCTGGCCTTGGGCGGAGCAGCGGTTGCCTGGCTCCGAGCCCTGTGCTGCAATCACTCGACAAGGCTGCCGCACAAATCTAGCAAGAGACAAACCAACTCAAGGACTCGGCTGAAGAGCGCAGCTCCGGCTTTGAGCTTTCGGATAGATGGTTTCTTTTGCCTGCTGTCCCCTTTGATGCAATGGAGCTGTCAGAGGCTGTTCTAAGGAGCCCCAGGGAGCTGCCATGGGGAGGAGGGCAAAGGTGCCATTTCGGGAGAGCAGTGGGGGGCGGGAGGGAGCAGCCATGCGTACCAGGATGCGGCTTGCTTTCCTTCCCGCTCCCTGGATGATAGGGGAGCGAAGGGAAAGTACTTGGGTTCTATGCAGGCCTCTTACTCCTGGCTGGGGAAGGGAGAAGGCAGAGGAGTAATTCACAGAACTCAAGTACTTTCCCCTCACTCCCTTAATGGCAGGGGAATGGGAAGAAATGCAAGTCAGGGCCCAGTACTCACGGCTCTCCCTCTTCCCCCTCCCCCCCCGCCCATTTCCTAAAACTCTGCCCTGGTGAGGAGAGGGGAAGGGGGCCTAAAGTCTGCACTCTGGGCTGTTGGGAGGATTCACGTGGCCCCAGATACCAATGAGAGCAGCCCCAGCTGCTAAACTCATTGCAGCCTCTGAGCTGCCGGGCACCCCAGGGCATCATGAGCCCGGCCAAGCCCATTCCCACACTGTTCTCTCGCGTCTCGCAGCTTAGCTAGTCACTCCTAAAACCATCCCATGCAAGAGACCAAACCCACCAGGACAGGGCCTGTGGAATTCTCACTCAGATCTCACTGCTTGTGCATCTCACCCGTCCCCCTTCGTCTTGCTCATTTAAACAAGGGCCTCGTACAATGGGGCACAGGCCAGGGCTGGTCTTAAGGCACAGACATCAAAGAGAGGGCTTGGGACAGAGGCGTAATGGGGCTGCTTACGGCAGGCAGCTCCCTGCTTATGGGAACTCTTGCCCAGGCAACTGGGACAATAACTGGCCCCTTTGCACTGCCAGAGGAGAGCTTGGGAGAGACAGATTTTTCTCAGCTGTTTATAGCATGGCTGAGTCTGGGCTCTGCTGCAGAGGGCATTGATTTGAGGGGAGCCTGGATCTCAGCACTTGTCGCAGGACATCATTGTAGCAAATGAACCCGTGTGCTTTTTGCAGGGTTGTTTTCTTACTGCCCTTCTATACACAACTGTAACTGCACGCACTAGCAACCTTATGGGAGCACGATTAAAGCTGCATAGCCATGATTGCAGAAGACAGGCCATCCCAGAGATAGGTTGCCTGTGCATTTGCTGAGGTCACCCCGACTCAGTTTCCCTTTGCTCAGACTCCTCAAATACGCCGCACAGGTCAAAGGCATCAAAACAAAAGCTGTTTTCCTTGTGGGGTCCTCCCTGGCCCAGCACAAGCAGCAGCCTTATAAACACAAAACAAGCTCAGAATGAAGAGTCCTCATCCAGGCTCTAGCTAAGCACAGCTTCTCCTGCCCCCCAGCAGCCACTCCTCAGCCCTACCTGGAGAAACATTTGTGCTACCTGTAGCCACCTGCTAGCCCAGGCCTCTTCCTTATCTAACAAAGGCCTGCTTGGGGCTGGCCAGCTCACAGGTATCATTACTTGGTTAATTCTCCCCACCTGGGGGATGAGGGCTGGCCAGCTCACAGGTGGAGAGGAGATCCGTTGCTTTATAAAGGACCTGTCAGGCGTTGGCCCTAGCTTCTGAGTACTTGATGTTGCAGCCTTAGTAATAGTGGGGTGAGCACTTTGTGTGCAGGGATGTTACGTGCAAGCTTTTAAAAAAGAAAATGAGAAAAACAAAACATCCCCATTGTGGCCTCTCATTGACGTGCAGGTGGGTCACAGGCTTTGGAACCTTTAGATCCACTGTACAGCGCTCAGCAGTAGTAAGTTGTTATCCTTTCTATGACGTAGCACTAGAGTGGGTGTGGGAGGGCGGGGAAAGGATGTTTTGCCAGGCCAGAGGGTTTCACAGAAATATGCCCATGTTTTGGGTTCCAGCTCAGGCTCTGGAGGGGGTGCTCTGGTGGGCACAGAACATTAGTTTTCCAAAGAGAAGACTTAGGGGGGGTCATGATAGCCGTTTTCAGGTATCTAAAAGGGTGTCACAAGGAGGAGGGAGAAAACTTGTTCATCTTGGCCTCTGAGGACAGAACAAGCAGCAATCGGCTTAAACTGCAGCAAGGGAGATTTAGGTTGGACATTAGGAAAAAGTTCCTAACTGTCAGGGTGGTGAAACACTGGAATAAGTTGCCCAGGGAGGTTGGGGATTCCCCATCTCCGGAGATATTTACGAGTAGGTTAGATAAATGTCTATCAGGGATGGTCTAGGCAGTACTGGGTCCTGCCATGAGATGACTCTCGAGGTCCCTTCCAGTCCTAGGATTCTATGATTTCTGCCTGTTCCTCCTCTACCCCAGGCTTGATGCTTTCTGTCGTATCCCTGCCTACCTGTCCCTGTCTTGTCCCCCCACCCCAGGCACCTTGTCCCACTCTCATTCCCCTCTCACTTCCAGGCCCAGTTTCCTCTCCTCAGACTTGTCATCCCAAGTGCAGCCTGTTCTAGTTCCACCCTTGGGACTCTACCGCCTCGTCCCTCCGCCCTGCCCCCAGGCCCATGCCCCCCCCCCCCCCCACAGGGAGCGGGGAGGGTGAATGCCTGGCTTGGGGGGGCATGCTATAGATAGCCCCTCAGTCCTGCCTCTTCTGCTTGAGGCCTCACACATCCATGCCCTCTGGAACCAGTTTCCCCTGCCCCATTGTGGCCACTGGCCCCAAAACCCAGGGTAGCTAGGCAATGCTGCCCTGGGGTACCCAAGAGCTGGTTAGGTGACTAGGCTCCAACCACCCTCAGTTCCGGGGCTCCTGAGAGCCAGGCGGGTGGCACATCCCAGCCACCTCAGGTCTGGGCGCCCAAGAACTGGGCCCCAGCTGCCCCCAGTCATAGGGCACCCAAGAGTCAGGTGGGAGGTGCGGTTCCAGCTGGTCCTGGTACCTGCTAAAACCTCCCCCCAGCTGAGCCACCAGCCCCAGCGTTGGGCTGTTGGCACGGCCCCAGGGGTACCCCTGGCCCCCAGACTGCCTGCCTCAGCCTCCGGGACCAAGCAGGAGGGGCCTGCTACAGGGCTTGTCTT